TTCGATTATTTTAAAATTTTTACCGATTATTTGAATATTATGCCGATCATTCGCATAACAACAAATTTCAATCATCCAAGCACTTCGGTAATATACATAGCGATATATCATTGAAACGACGTCAAGTACAAAAAGTTAATACTGGTTATTTTTTAATATTTTGCTTTGTTTGAAAAAATCAAATTTAAATTAGTGATAAAAAACTATACACGTTTTAATGAAATATAGATAACTTCATAATTCTTCGGATTTACGTAAAAGGTTATTTTAAATCCTGTGAGTACGCTGGTGCAAAGTTATTGTGGAATGATTAATGTGAAACGTCAAAAGGTATTTCTTAGATTTGGTGGACTATAAATGTATTTCCTTAAAGACTGTTTTCCTTATCATCATGTGAGAAAAATTCCACATGATCAAAGACCATTTATTTTATAAGTTTTTCCGTTGTTTGTTAAAGTCGGTCGAGCGAACGTATTCTTGCTACAACCATAATATAGCAGTAGCGTGACTCTACCACGTATAAAATAACTTAGTTTGTCACTGCAATTTCACAAAAATAATGTTGTCAGAAAGACGCTGCGTGCCATCTCTTGTTTTCATCATCATCGTCACAGCCCGTCACAAGTCCGCTGCTAAACATAGAGCTCCCAAGCAAATGGCAAGGAATGCCACAAAGCACGGTCCTGAGCCACCTGCGTCCATCGACTTCCTGCATGTCTTACCAGGTCATCACTCCATCTAGTGGGGGGCCGCCCGATACTTTTACCGGTACGATGTTGCCATTCGAGAACCTTTCCCTATCAGCTGTCGGTTCTTAAAGTTATATGGCCAGCCCATTGCCACTTAAGTTTACTTATCTATCTCCTGCTTTAGTTTTTATTTAATAATGTCCTCCAGACCGAATTTCGGTCTCTGAATCCAGCCTCAACGGAGACTAGCCATTTGCGCAGATCAGGACTATAGTGTCCAAGTGTATGCGCAAGCACGGGTGCACTATCTATTCCCTCACTCTCATAATCCGATGGGACGGTAAACCGACACGACCGGAGAGAGATCAGGTGCAGGACCAACGGCTTTACGTGCTTTCCGAGACACGGGGGTGAGACACCGCCAACTTCCTGATTTCAGCCATTTACTGAGAATTTTCTTAACGGAAAGTGATTTTTTTGGCCCGACCTGGGATTCGAACCCAGGACCTCATGACCAGCAGTCGCGTCTACAGCCACTAGAACACCGAGACAATCAGTTATTCTTGATTAAATACAATAAACAATTCAAATCATGTCATGTTATTTATTTTCATTTTAATTTGCTTTTACATTGTAGGCGACAGATTGCGGTTTAACCACTATGTACGTAATTACTCTAAATATTAAACTTAAGTTTTGACAGCTTAACATGATAAAAGGTAACATTGGCTTACGCTCTAAGCTAAATCAAAGTTAAGTCGGTTAATCTTGAATATATTAACTCTAACATTAGAAGTTATATATACACACACTAGCAACCCGCCTCGGCTACGCACGTGTTGAGTTCTGTGAATTTAAACCATCCAGACACGCGCTCAAACACAAAAAGAAATTCATCAAAATCGGTCCACCCTTTTTTAAAATATTATTAGTGTCTCCAGCGAGCTCACAGTCCACCTGGTGGTAAGTAGTTGCTGCGGCTCATAGACATCTGTCCTTGATTACGAACCAAAATGCAGATGCGTTGTCACCCGTGAGGACCCAGATGCTTCGTTTTCGGTAAAAAGGGTATCTGGTTCTCTACACTCATCATACGAAACACAGCAGCATTATGGTGCTATTTCACACTGGCATTCTGGGAAAGCGTGGTCCTTCCCTGATCAAGTCGACACATTCCTGCCACAACCAAAATATAGCTCCAGCGTGGCTCTACCAATACGTTTAGGAGTTCATTGACAAACACACGAATAGCAGAATTATATATATAAAAATAAAAAAATAATAAAAAAACTACTCTTAAAAAGAAAAAAAATGTGTGCAATAAGAAAATCAAATAAAATAAATCAATGTGCCCATGTTTCTACAAAAAGAAGTGAAATTCCACCAAAAACATTCTGTAAAAAACTAGCCAAGTCTCGATGGAGCTGCTTCTTTATCTCTAAAAAGTAATGAAATCTAGACAAAGTCGTGCCAAGTCTAAGGTTCCTTACTGCGATTTATTTATTATTATAATTAATGTTGTGTGATTTGGCCGTTGAAGGGTACACAAGGGTACAAAACCAGGTGCTACATGACACCCTTGTACCAATCTGTCGCCAGAACCGCTACCCATTGACGATGGAAAATTGCCACTTGGAAAACGTTGATTGAATAACCAGTCAATTGTAGGCTTGATAAAGTTGCGTTTACACGTAATGTTGCACGTAATTGTGTTTACACGTAATGTTATATCTGTTGTAACTACCTATGTTTGTTAAGCCACAAACGTTAATAGCCCATACTGGTATTGGTAATTGGACTTACGTACTTGGTACGTGCAGACGGACTTCTATCAATGATTCGAAGTCCGCCTGTACTGGAAATAATTTTTTATACTGTTTGTTTCAGGCTAGCCTATACAAAAGCGTTATTGAAATACGGATTTATACTTACTTCTACACCCTAGATATGTGGGTTACTCGTAGCATTGTTCTCTGCCTGTTCGTGTAGTTTCATCACAACCGGCTCAGTCATTCCGAAGGTCACTCGGACGCACGGACAGACGAAGATTTTATGAATGCTTATTCATGTCTTACTTAGTGACATACAAATAACTCGTGCAGCTCAATGGAAGCAGTTATTTATATACATTTGCACACAGCCACTTCGGTTTTATTTATATAGTAAGTACGTGAGGGTAACATGGTCATCCGGTTAATATGGCCACTTTAATATAAATTAAAAAACATTGGTCGTCTGTAAAATCGGTTTACGTACGTATATGCACACACACACACACACACATACACACACATATATATGTGTGTGTATGTGTGAGTGTGTGTGCGTGTGTGTGTACATATTTAGCAGATTAATGCTACTGTGTTTCATATGGTGAGTGTAGAAAACCGGAGGCCCTTTTTACCGGAAACGAGGCAGTAAGAGTACATCACCTGAAGATGATGTAGAGGCGAAACACGTATCGTATTATCGTCGATGGTGTGTCTTTCCTAGAATAATCGTGTTACGTACACGTAATGTTATATCTGTTATTAATAAACAGATATAACATTACGTGTAAACACAATTACCTGCAACATTACGTGTAAACGCAACTTTATCAAGCCTACAATTGACTGGTTATTCAATCAACGTTTTCCAAGTGGCAATTTTCTATCGTCAATGGGTAGCGGTTCTGGCGACTGGCACGACTTTGTCTAGATTTCATTACTTTTTAGAGATAAACAAGCAGCTCCATCGAGACTTGGCTAGTTTTTTACAGAATGTTTTTGGTGGAATTTCACTTCTTTTTGTAGAAACATGGGCACATTGATTTATTTTATTTGATTTTCTTATTGCACACATTTTTCGGTTCATTTTTTAGGAGTAGTTTTTTTATTATTACAAATCTTTCTTTTCTTTTTTTCCGGTTCTGATTCTTGTACAGTAGCAACAGTTTTTCGTATTGCCCATTCGCGTTCATTATTTATTGTTTTAGACGGTTTAGACGGTTTAAAACCTGAAAGATCGGCGCGGTATTTACGCCTAAGCCGGTTGTATTCGGTGATCGCTGAAGCTTGAGCTTTTATACTCTTGAAGTCAACATTTATGAGGTGCATCCCATGTAGATTGGTTACTCGTGAAAGCGCCACGTAGGCTTGGCCACAAGTGAATATGGAGGCGCCAATGTCCATGAGGGCATTTTTTAGTCTTAGACCTTGGCTCTTGTGAATTGTTAGGGCATACGCCACACAGATTGGGAATTGTTCCCTGTACACGCATGCCCGGGGTATGATCTCAAATTTTGACTTAATAGGCAATAATTCGTGAATCAAATTATTAGCGAATTTTACTACCAATTGTTTAGGCTTTGTATGGTCTTCCGGGTCCCACCTCACTTTTTGTACAACGCCTAATGACCCATTCACTAAACCTAAACTAACATCAATATTTCTCCTCAGCATTACTTTAGCTCCCTCTTTAATGATTATAGTTTCTTCGAGTCCAGCAGTCATCGACGCATCATCTTCATATTTTTGTAAACACGCTCAGGGTTTCGTTATCATACAGTTTGAACAATCCAAGGAATCTTTAGCAACTAACTTTATCTCGGGGTGCGGAATCGCTTTTAACATAGCATTATTTAACTGCATACACATATTTCTAGTCGGTAGTAAATAAACAGTATCTTCTAGTAAGTCCCTCAAACATTGTGCTATTTTCATTAACCTTCCTTCATTGGAATGTGAGAGCAGAGGTATCAATCGGTTAGACAGTATATCTCTGTCTGATTGAGTTGTCACTCCTACTCTGATTCTTTTTAACATTTCTACAAACGTAGAATCATCCAGCTGTCTCATATTCAACGTAAGTTCGTCGTAACTAAAAAGTTCAGCCCATAAGTTTGGAATACTTAAGGAGCCTATAAGTTTATTAATTTCTGAAGGGGTTAGTTTTTCAAATGGCGACTTTTCTCTAACGGGTGAAAGTTGCAAAAGATCCCCAAGCACTAAAATATGTTTTTTTCCAAAGCAACCATCTTCTACATCAGAAGTATCAAACACATCGCATAAACGAAGATTTTTGTAGGCTAAAGTTACATTAGATATCATAGACACTTCATCTATAATAAATAATTCGACAGTTTTTAAGTCTGTCCTTAAAACTTCAAGTATGTCGTCTGAAAGCGGTTTGTATTTAGGAGTTTGTTTATGCTCTACGGGCAGTTGTAGTAATCTGTGAACAGTTAATCCATTTACGTTAAATGCTGCAATTCCAGTCGGGGCAGTAATAGCAACATTTTTATGCAGGTCCATATTTTTATGGTTTTTATTAAATAGCTCTTGCCGGTGCCACCGGTGCCACTAACAAAATGTCGCAATATTTCTTTTTGGTTCCTAATTTTATTAGTGACTGTATCAAATACTTTTTTTGGTCAGAATTCAGTTTATCTATCATTGCTTGCTCATTCATTTCAGAAATATCCTCTTCAACTAAATCAAAGTTCTTTAAATCTTCCATAGCATTTACCGCTTCCAAAGCTTCAAACTCTAAAGGATTGTCGGGTCCCTCATCTACTTTGTTTTCCCTTTCTTCGTTTAGTTCTGCTACTTTTTCTTCTACCTTTTCAAAAGCTGTTTGTAAAATATTTCGTAATTCAGTCCGTAAATTTCCGTAGCGTAACGCTTCTTGTAAATCGTCCTTTACAGCATTAAATATTTCTGTGTATATCTCATGTTGCATTTTTAGGTCATCTAGTATTCTCCAAGGTTTAAATAATAACAACAAGGAAAAGAAATATTTTTCTGGTATTTGCTCTACATCATACGGGTAATGGTTAATTACGTATGGTCTATCTCGTTTTTTTAAGTATTTTTTATTTGCTAAAACATAATACTCTACTTTATTTGAAACAGGCCGTGTATTAACTAAATCATAGTCTTTCGAAAAGTCAAATAGATTCATGTCTTGTAATTCGTCAGGTCTGGCAGGGTAAACGTTGTCTATCCAATAATCGTAATATATGTCAGTGGAATTCGGGTCCAGTGCAGTCATTTCAGATTTCGATTTAACCCTGCGATTACGATGAATGTTTACGTCTAACCATCTTATTGTTGTTTGTGGGTCCGTGCCGAAGTGGTATTCCCAATAATGTATCGCTGGCTTCTAAATCTCCGCATTCTCGATTCGATAATACTCTGAGACCAATATTATATAACCGGCTTCTAAGACTTTTTGTAGAGTTAATATCGTTAAACATGTCGGTTGCATGGGTCTTTTCACTTTTAGTAGTATACTTGGTCACATAATAGTTCAAAATGGCTGTTTTCTCTCCAACATATTGAATGTCAATATTTCCATTCGAAGCCAACAGCAAAGCGGGATTGTAGTCATTAATCATATCTGACTCCTTTGAGCGGACAATATTGTTAAGACGATTATTAGAGCTGAGAGTTTTTCTTGCCGCTAGAGTTTGAAAAATGTCTCTTATGATAAGAGAATCCATCACAGTTCGAGGAAATCCAAAACGGCAAACTGAGACGAATCCTTTTTTCGTTTTCTTTCTCCTCATGCAATAACTGTTATGTTTATGCATTTGATACGAAGTGACCCGTTGATGTAAAGTAGGAGAAATATCTTTTTTGGAATGGCACATGTCACGTATTTAGAAATAAATGACGCTACCTCGTCTATAGATGACTTATGTAGAATAGGTGCATCCTTAACCCATAACATTAAATGGAAGTGCTGAGCACCCCTAGATTGGTACTCTCGACGCCAAAAGTAATGAATAATCTTACCTAAAGGCTCATCTGAACTAGTTATTAAGTCTAACATTGCATGAAACTTGTTATCTATAAAACGTGAGGTGGATACGGTGTCAAGAGCAACCAATTCACTGATTGTTTTATTAGCCATTTCAACGCCATTTAATTGCCTGATTTACTCTCCCAAATCCTCCCACATCCACTCAGAGGGACTCATTGAAAGAAACCAAGTTGCTGGACCGTAATTTTGAGTCATACAATTTACATCGTTTCTTGGTTTCTTCCAGAACTGTTCGGTGTTTCTCAGTCGGCCAAATATTGGGGTCAAATCACCTTCCAGCTCCTCATTTTTAAGCATTTGGAGATACTGTTCTACCGAGTTTTATCTCTCTGATTAGCACAATTCATTTTATAAAAGATTCCGGAGTTTAATTGGCGCATATTATCATCATTCAATAAGAAAAATAGATACTGTTGGTTAAGTCTAAATTGAGGATGTTTTGACATAAGCCGGGCTTTAATAAATTCACTAGAAGTTACTTTCTGCTGCCGATTATGAAATCGAGGTCTTTATCTCGGGCATCAATCGGTGCTGTGTTTACTTTGAGCATTTGGTAGAGTTCTGAAGCTGGTGCGTTTTGTCTCCGTTCATTCAAAGGATATATGGTGTAATGCTCATAATCAGTTCCCTTTTCTCTTGTGATTTGGGTCAACAGTGCTGCTGTACCATCTTCTAAAATGCCTTCTTCAGCATTATCTGGTGTATTTGTTATGTTGAATATTTTCATGTATGTTTATGAGCTGATTAGGTAAATCTGTTAATTTGATATAAGCATAATGTTCGTTTACATTTTTTAAGTATTGTAATGCTTTGTACACTTTATTAACGTCAACAATATCTTGCCATATAATATTTGCTTTGTTTGGCGTACTTCGGACTATAATATAAAGTTCTGGGTTTTCAATTATTGCATCTTCAGGTTTTGGGAGTGTAGCGGCGCTGTCGGCGCGCCACTAGCACACCGAAACACACCGAAGCCTAAATCGCGCTATTAAAATTCCGAATCATAGACAGTATATATAGAACTTCTCCGAACTATCACACGGAGCGTTGGCCGCTCCCCGGGCAGAACACCTTGCCCGGCAGGAGATCTCACCTTTCCTACTGTGGCCACAGTGGTGACTAACCGACGTGATCTGAACACGCAACCAACAACCTGCGGAAACTTGAAGCTTCATCATCGTCATAGAATAACCCCACCCATTCGCTCCCGAGCAGATATCGTCCGCAGTCTTCATATCCTGCAAGCCAGCTAGCTTTACAAGGTTCATCGCAGCACTGGAATAATAATGCTTCCTGTTCCTTCAAGCTACTCTCTGCGCTATACAGTGTTCGGCACGGCTCTGAGCCTTACTGCTCGCCTCTGCTCCACGGCACTCTCGCAGATTACTTGCCTTCTTTTCGACTCACCGCAAACTACAAGGCAATCTCCTGGCACTTGCACATTCGTCGGCAACGAGGCTGCACTATCGACCACTGGTCTCAGCAGGGGGGTGATGTAGCGGCGCTGTCGTCGCGCTACTATCACACCGAAGCCTAAATCGCGCTATTTACATTCCGAATCATAGACAGTATATATAGAACTTCTCCGAACTATCACACGGAGCGTTGGCCGCTCCCCGGGCAGAACACCTTGCCCGGCGGGAGATCTCACCTTTCCTACTACGGCCACAGGAATTTTTTTTAGGGTTTCTTCCATCGGAAGTGGTAAATGAAAAGTCTTGCCCTTTACTTTTTTAACCATCTGACGATTGGGTAGACGTTTATTAGCCACAGGATTCATTGTGACAACCACCTGAAAGCTTTAGCGCGTTAGATTAAAATGTTTTCATAGTCGTTCAGCTGAGCTATTTCTGGTGGAACAGTGCTTACATGCATGTCATTGAGGATACAGACAGCAGGCATTTGGTTAGCACGAATCTTAGCAAGGCATGTGTGGCATATGTACGGACTGTGAGTTATTAGGCTAGAATTATAGTAGTTCAGGAGCTGATTCCGCTGTTAATATGGGCTTTCTTAATCGTACTATGGAACTAATATCCCTAGAATAACATAGTTTATTGCACGACATACAATCCAGTTTCGGTGTGTCTACACTTTTTTTTGGAAAATAATTTAAAAGCAACCTTATTACTTTTTATTATTTCATCTTCCACGATTTCACTATCAGGTGCTCTACAACGGCACTTCCTACCGTCGGTTGCTTTCGTAGCTCCATAAGCTTATCCACATTACCACTTGCCAAAGAATCGTCAATATCAAGCAATAACTTACAGTCGCTGTGTATTTGATAAATCTCTCTGATAATAGTCCGAAGATGTGGGAAATGCGATTTAACGTTATTAATAAAGTTGATATTTTCTTGCAGTTTTCCTGTTTCTACAGACATCGAGTAAATTTGCGGAGTAGTTTGGAGGTTTAATACTTCGAAAATGTTTTTCAATTTTAGTAAGATTCCATCATTTAATACGCACAATGAATCCGAACAAGACCATGTCAGACTTTTGGACATTTTCTTAACATTTGTAAAGGTTTTTGCTTTGCCAGTATCATCAATCTCAATAGGTTTTTCTTTATCTTCATAAACCTTATAAGCTTGTTCAGAATAAAATGGCTCCTGATTACTGCGATGTTCGGATTTACCAAGAAATGCTTCAAATTTGTCTTTAATATCCGTACTTTCAGGACATATTTTCAACTTCTCTAATGCCGCTACTATTTTTTCTTTTAATTTATTTGCAGTTTTGTTCAAATCTTCTAAAGTTCTTTGCCTATTATGGAGAGTCCACTTAACTATTTTTTCTGATTCTAATCTATCTTTAAGTTTAGTTGTAAGAACTCTAGTGATTGTTTCTATGTTTCCCTTAAACTTTAGTTTGTCAGTAGATCTCTTTCGCGCTAAGTTTTGTCTGTTTACTTCCAGATGTGAAACACGGTAGCGAGATACTGCGGCCTGATTAACTTCCGGATGAGAAGCACGGTAGCGAGATACTGCGGCCTGATTAACTTCCGGATGTAAACCACGGTAGCGAGATACAGTAGCCTGATTGACTTCCGGATGTGAAGCACTGTAGCGTGCTACAGCTGCCCGGTTTACTTCAGGGTGTGAAGCACTGTACTGTGCTACAGATGCCCGGTTGGCGCTTGGATGTAAAGAATTATAAAGTTCTACGGTTTCTCGACGTTTTCAGGGTGTTTTTGTCGGTAACGAGCCGCAGCTTCTCGAAGTTGTTCAGATCGTGACAGTTCGGTCGGTCTTCCTTTTTTAGTTTTAGTCGGTCTACCGCTTTTTCCCTCATGATTCATGTTCAATTCACTTTGCGTAGAGTTTAAGTCAAATAATGTACATATAGCAGTATCTGATGTTACAGAATTTAATGTTATGGGATCAAAGGGGGAAGAAGATGGAGAGGCATCTCGTATAGAAATGAGTACATCGTAGTGGCCGCTTAAGTAACTACCGGGAAAACGTAAACACTTTTTTTGGCCAGCATCGCCAAAGGAACCTCTTAGTATACCGTTCTCATACACTTCAAAAATGAAAGGATAGATTTTTCCAGCAGCCATAAGCTCAGAAGCTGAGCCGTAAGCAGTGGGTTTCATCATATCGCTCCTGTAGGATTGCGCGCTCGTGTATACGTCACCATCAGCATCACACGTGTACACTTGCATTTCGTCCCAATGTTCAGCAACGTTAGTAACTATAGCAGATCTGATACTGCAAGTTGAGTTAGTTCTACCATACACCAAGAAAGATATTGAATGGAAGAGACAAGACCCGTCTTTGGGCAAACCAACTACTTGGTAGCCACTAAGTTCATCGTCGTCTTTTAATATTATCGACACTTATTTACGATATTATCTTGCGAAATCAAACACAAATAAACTCAACGACCTTTAGTATATGGACCACAAATCAGAAATACCGATAATATTTAGACTAAAACAATAATAACCTATATCTCTAAGACTTCTTTTGTCTTAATAAAAAAAAAGCTCAAAGAAAATATTACTCAGTCTACTTAATCTATACAAACTATAAACAAAACGTTAACTCTTAATTATTAGACAATTGTCAATATAATTAATTATCAATGAACTTTCTACCAAAGGTATTACCTCTACCTAGTACTGAAATACAGCTAAATTAATGATATTTTTAAACGAAACGAAGTAACTATATAAACTAAAACTAGAATACTAGAAAAGTACTTACTTACTATAAGGTTATCGAAAAAAAAAACGTAAGCGCGTTTTAAAATACAGTCAGCGCCATCTAGCGACGTGTGCGGGTATCACCACCACTCTTAGTCCAATGCATTATATTTGGACCAAATTTTGAGCGAAATTAATATTTTAGTGTAATTTGTTTATTTAATTTGAGTAATGTTCGAGTAGAATAAAATTAATCGTTCGACTATTTTTTCTTGTAAACTTGTAAGTATAAGTATAAAAGCCAATCTAGTGTTATCCAGAGTTTTCCTTTAATTTTATTTATATGCGTATTAAAAGCAGAAGGGGAGGCATTCGCCCAGCAGTAGGACGCTATAGGCTAGATTAAATTAGAAGATGTGTCCCAATACGCTGGATTTTTGCAATGACAGTAGATATTTATGTACCAATGGTAGAAGGGGGCATTACCATATCTCTAATACAGCTGTGACCAGCTGAGGGTTCTTCATCAGATACTTTAGACCTTCGATATTTGACATCAAATGAAGCGGCCTACGAAGTTGAATATTTTTTGTAAAGGCGGTATGTCGATCTCTTCTAATAGTTTGGTTGGGCTCTTGTGTTTGCTAATCAGGGTCACCAGATACTCCAGATGTTCGATTATCCTATTTTTTATAGTTTTTCCTTTTTATGTGGCCATTAAACCCTAACTCTGTACCAAATTTCAGCTCTCTGAGTTTATGGGAAGTACTAGTTCTATTCTGATGACCATGAGTGAGTGAGTGAGTGTCATAAATGCGAAACTTTGCTTTTGCTTAACTTTGGAACTAAATGACTTACAGATTTGAAATTTTGGATTTTAAGTATGTGATTATAGTTTACTGGATGACGAAAATTTCTGCGTTCTGGTATTATCCAGAGGTTCTCAAATAGGGGCCTGAAAATGCGGCGAAATGGTTCCATTAAAGGATGATACGGCAGTGTTTGCTTCGCGCTCGACTTGGCAGGGGCACTGCCGTGCCCCCCGAAAAGCGTCCGTAAGAAAGCGTTAAATAAGGGTGGCGCCACTGTAGCTACAGTCTAAATTTTAAAGAACTTTTTAATATATTTTTTTTATTGCACAGACTTGCACCATAATTCTTTTTACAATAATTATTTTATTGCTTTAAAAAATTTTATTTCCAAAATAACTCTCAACTCTACTCTGTAGCTTTACTGCTAACAGACGGACACATTTTCAACTCCATGATCATACTCCATGATCTAGGTGAAGCCGAGCGGGTTGCTTGTGTAAAATATAAACTAATATTTAAGAAAAAAAAACTGGTGAATTGTACATTAATGTTGAAGATCTCTTTTCTAACAAATAAACATCCCACGCTATGAAATATGTCAAATATATTAAATAATATATTTGGCTTATTTAACAGTCAAATATATTATACTGGATGACCTTTCTTACCGTCTGGAAAAATACGGTGTAACATGAGAACATATTTTACAAAAAATAAAAACAAACATTTTGAATTATATAAATAAAATCTATCGAAATTAAAATCACTACCACCACCACCCTACTTTACGAACGGCAATGAAACAATAAATCTTTGACCTTGTCACCTCGCAGCGTCACAGGCTCAAGGACAAAGTAGTTGTTCATAATTTTTTTTAACGTTTAATTTAAAATTTATATTTTTAAGCTATTGCATAGCTTCTATCGCGGGCCTTAAGCGCGGGGACCGAATCCAGAAATTCCGTAACGAAAAAACCTCACGCTCCCCACTCCGATGGGCACGGAGTTGTGGCGTTGAAAGCCGTGCATCGTCTAACGTCGTTTCGTTAGACGTATGCGTGTACACTAGCTGCTAACTCAATGATAAAAATTCCTGAATAACCTACATGTATTGTAAGATATTAAAAATATTTTAAACAATATTAACTTTTCATTTATTCAATAAGAGAAAAAAAATTGTTTTCTTATCGGTCACCACGCTCAAAAAGTGTAACTTGATTTAATATCAAAGAATTAACTGCATAAATAAATTAAATAAATAATTATAATTGCATAAGTTGATAAAAAATGCTATGCAATAGCTTTACCGCGGCAGTCACCGAGTGCCACACGTATTTTTATTTTTTATAAAATATCAGTGCCATAGGTTTCTACTCGGTTTTCATGTTACACCCTGTTTTTTCCAGACGATATCAAAGATTATCCAGTATACATAATATAATAATATTCCTAAATGACGCCGCCTTGCTGGCAGAAAAAGTCATTGTAAGGAAGTAACGTCACAACGTTTTCACATGTCACGTAATACCTTATGATTGTAAACTGAACAAAATCCTGTAGAACAAAATAGGTTTTCCGAGGTAGGGCAGCTCACGTGTCGTAGTGTCCTTCGTAGTACCGCCTGTACTCCGGCGCTGCAGCAGCGGGGGGCAGGTACTGCGGGTACACCACGCCCCCGTACAGCTGCGAGAGCACGTCGTACGGCGGCGCCGGGGCCGGCGGCCGCGCCATGCTGAACAGCGCTTCCGGGTCGCACACGAACTTGTACACGTAGCGTTCACCTGGAATGAAATGTACGCTAACACGCTAACATTTGGTTATGAGAGATTAGTTACTAGACGGCTCCAAAGCGCCGTGATTTAGAAATCGCAGCGCTGACGGCTGCAGGGTCGAATCCCACACGGAACAAGTTTTTGTATGGCCTACAAGTAATTGTTCCGGGTCTGGATGTTTGTCCTTGAGAAAATTAAGCATGTAAACTGTACGATATAGGAGAAAATTCTAGTGTAGAGGTAACGTAAAACAATGAGCGAGCTTTATAGCCTGGCCACGGAACATTCGCCGTAGCGAATATTCGCGCGGCGCTAACAGTAGTCGCACATGATGTGTAACATCTAATATGTAACCTTGGTAATCAGTAACATTAACATTACATGAAATTAAAAATATCAATTAAACAGCGACAGAAATAACCTCAAAATTTATAAAAGCCAAATACATACTGAAGTACTTATACGAATAAATTTTTATTATTACTTGTGTATTTTGACGCGGATAGAAGCGGTTTTGTGCGAAGTAATTCTTACCAACTTTAGTTTAATGGATTTTCGCAGTGACGCCGGATTCTATTATTCATAATAATATTTTAACACCTGTGTTTGTCATTTATTGCATATGTTTTAACAGATGGATTTGTCAAAATTCATAGAGAAAATCTTGAAACCTTGTATTACTCGTATCACAGACTCTTATTTTAATTAAACTCATAAGCTTTTATTTTCCACTCAATACTTCATTAAAACCACCACAAAAAGAAAGAGAAGAGAAAGAAAAAAAAGTGTCCGTAGAAATGCGTTAAATTAAAATGGCGCTACTATAATACGACGGTGATATTTAAAAACAGATTATTTTTTGAATTAAGTCTTTTAAAATTGACAATAAAGGTATTTTAATTTATAACAATAAAATATCTGAATTAACATAATTAATCAATCATTTTCATAATAAACAATATTCTTTTTAAATCACAAGTCTCATAAATAAGACAGTAATTTGGCATAACAACTGCTGCATTCATATCATATCCTGCATCTACGTCAGCTCCATTCTCGAAGGTTTTTGAACTGTTACATCTTATTAGTGAACACTTTTTTTTTATAGAATAGGCTGACAAACGAGCACACAGTCCACCTGATGGTAAGTGGTTGCTGCGGCCCATAGACATCTACATCTATCTTCCATTACAAATCAAAATGCAGATGCGTTGTCACCCGTGAGGACTGAGATGGAATGCCTCATTTTCAGTAAAAAGGGTCTCCGTTTCTCTACACTCACCATACGAAATACAGCAGCATTAAGCTACTATTTCACGCTGGTATTCTGTGAGAGCGTGGTCCTTCCCCGGTCGAGCCGACCCATTCGTGCTACAACTATACTACTAATATAACTGCAGCATGGCTCTACCACGTAGACACTTTTTCATCTTAGTCTTAGTCTGGTGTAAACAAAGTATTTAACGAAACTACTTGGTGTGTGTGGATGTCGTGTGAGGCGCAGAGGAAAACAAACCAGGACATGGGCGGCAGCGTCTTCCTAAAAACGACTAAAATTAAAAAAAACCTGCAGCTGCCAACCAGCCAACTATGGTACATATACCCTCTATGTGGCAATCCTTTGGGAGGCCTACGTTCAGAAGTAGGCTGCGGCAGTAACTTTAAATGAGATATGTCCATCTCATCATCATGGTTGTCCGAGCATAACCGCCTCTCTTGACCCCCGCGGGATGAGTTGGTAACGTGACATTCTCCAACACCGATTAAAAGGGCGAGTTGCCAGCGTACGATGAAATTTTAGGCTAGCGCCTGTCTTTTGTGAACATCGTAGTTTATTAGAAATTGCTATATCACTTCGAAAAGGCGCTAAATGAGGGTTACATTTTACTGTCGCATTGGCTACAAGGCCTTCAGCCAAAAAGAAAATGTAATGTGGCAGGTCATTCAAACAATTTACGATCTGTATTTTCAGGTAGATTCTTTTTAGTATTTAATTTTTAATCTAGCGTATTTACTAAGAGAAATCGATTATTATCTCCACCTCTGAATACAAGAGGCTGAAATAAGTTATCTCCTGCTGATTCAATATAATATTTTTGTAGCTCAGGGTATATATAAGGCCTTGCCTTACTACGAAATGTGCTACGAAATTTTGTAGCATACGGACAAACCAACTTTGATCTCCGGCATTGTGGGTTGAGATTATTGATTGCGAATTAAAAAGACTTTTTACATTATTAGGTGCTCAGCTGAGAAGGAAAACATTGCGAGGAAATCAATTTGTCAAAAAAGTGATATTATATGGATATGTGAAGTCTGTCATTCCAAAACGTTTGTGAGGCAAAGCGGCGGATTTTTCCTTCCCCTTTTTTATAGGACGCCGTGCATCTGGAAAACTCTTAATGTTACAAAAAACTCACCAGCGACTTTCTGCATGATGCCCTTCTCGTAGTAATACCTGAGCGAGCGTGACAGCTTGTCGTAGTTCATGGCGGGCCGGTTCTTCTGGGCGCCCCACCGCCGCGCCACCTACCGGCGATACATTGTTATTAGTAATAATAAATTTATTTATTGAAATCAATTTGACACTACAAAGCAGTACTGCCTCATATCCACAAAATTACAATTAAAAAATGGCTTATCGGCTTATCACATATCAGAAGGTAACAAAACAAATATTTTTTTACAAATCAAAGAGAAATAAAAAAATATGCACGCGTATATGTGTTGCGTCTATGCGTACATGTTGTGCGTGTACGTGTGTATGTGTGCGTGCGTGTGTAAGAAATATATATATATATATATATATATGTGTGTGTGTGTGTGTGTGTGTGTGTGTGTGTGTGTGTGTGTGTGTGTGTGTGTACACTAAAGTAATTGTAAAGAGTTGGTGCATGAAATTGATAACGCCGTCGAGCAGGTGTCGAAAGGTAGTTCTGGAACCACATAAGCGCATTTCTCCTGATTCCTATATTTTCCAAACGTGTCAATAATATTGAAACAGATACGGTAGCGAATGCCTTCTGAAAGTCCGGGAATACTCCCATCACTTTTTCATTTTCATCAAGATAACGTGTAATATTTAATATTTATAGTAAGTTGAAGGACAGCGTCAAATCAAATCAGTTTATTTTGTGAACATAGATTAATTTACAGATCTCAATATGTACATAGTAAAATACTAGATAGGTTCTCTATGTCCCGCCAGTAGGCATACAAAATATAAAATAGTAATTGCTTAACATTTTTTTGTCTTCTGATGTCAGTTTCTAATTGAAATAATTAAATAACGTATTAATATAAGCAAATTTTAAAGATAATAAAGGTATAGTATAATATAGCATATAATTCATCTGTCTGTCATGTGTATAATAAGTCGTCTGTCGTTAGCACGAAAACGAAATCGGTTTTTATCCAATAGCAGTTTAGATTATTAAGGTTTCATATTGACTGGTAGAGGATGCCATAAGACAATATGTCCGTCCTTTATATCTCTTGTTATAAGGCCAATAATAGATATTGAATATATAATATGACAATACAACAAAAACACACCGCAGAAGTAAGGTAATAAGTCTGGGGAAGAAAAGCAGCGTTACAGGCGCGTGTTTTATGAGTTGCCATGCCGTTTGTCAGATTCTAAAACCTTGTCAACGCCTGCGCTTGCGTCGGCTATAGGCAGAGTACCTACAATTAACTTACAGTACGTAGCGCGCGTGACGCACCGATAAATTTGTACGAAAGTTATATATTATTCAATTTCAATGAGTGTATTGTCATTGCTAATTAAACAATATAACTCTTCCATACTTAAAACGATATTTCAACAACAATTTCTTCTGCAGCAACATCGCGCCAGGTACCAGCTAGTCTATGGTAGAAATTATTTGAACGTCAATATTTTAATAGTGTCCCACATGTCCAACAGTACAGGTAAAGAGGTAATTACAGGTACAGAGCCGTGGTAGCTAAGATGGTTATCGCTCGCTGTAAATTTCACAGTACGCGAGCAACCCCGGTTTAATCCCCGCCGGCACAAAGGAAATTGTTTATTTAAATTTTAAGTGCTGATTTACCACGTGCTCGACAGTGAAAGAAAACATCGTGAGGAAACCTGCATGTCTGAGAAATAAGAAAAAAAATATTTCGAAGACATGTTAAGTTCAGGAATTTGTGGAGGCCTGTGCCCAGGAGTGGGACGTATATAGGCTGTAACTTTAACTTTTTTAACTTTGGTACTGTTACGAGCTTGAGGTTCGTGACAATAAAAATTGCCTATAGGATTACCTAAATTAACACTTTAATTTTCTTTACACAAATTAAAACTTTAAACACCAATAATTAAGCACACATCACTTTATTCCCCTCCGAAGCTTCGCTTGTCTCGCCAAATTCAATACTTCCCCCGATCGCACCTTGCAGCGCCTATAAATACACATTAGTACCGAATCATCCAGAACATTCAAGTAAATACGCGCACCAATCGACAAAGCGCCGAAAGTTCGAGAGTCAGCTTCCAGAAGCTTAGTTCTTCATTTCGACAACAGATGGCGCTGTCGGTTGAAAGATTAGTGATGTCATTTTCTGGACAGCTCTCCCCTCGCTCCGTTACCCGACACTAGATGGCGCTAGTGCCAGATGTCAACTAAGCCGCGCAACACTGCCCCCTCCTAAGACATGCTCGTCCCGAGCATTATCGGCCCCATAATAACGCGCCAGGCGATCCACATGGACGATCTTAGGAGTCCCTCTTGCGCCCTTCTGTATCCGGTAGGTTACATCGTTGATCCTGGTCACAATCCGGTACGGGCCGTCCCATTTAGCTTGAAGCTTAGGAGATTTCCCTTTGCTGCGGACCGGATTGTGCAACCACACTAGTGAACCTTCGTCGAACCCTTTGTTGTTCATTTTGCGGTCATACCGGGTTTTCATCTTTTCAGACATTTGCTGGCCCGATTGTCTGACGTGTTCATAAATGTCATTCATTTTGTTCCGCAAGTCATTTGCATAATCGGTTATACTGCGTGGGGCATCAGGTGGTATCCCGGTGATCAGGTCTGCAGGCAGCCGTAATTCTCTTCCAAAGTTTGCGAAAGCTGGTGTCACTGATGTACTTTCGTGAACAGCGCTTCGATATGACAGCAAAAACGGTTGTATGTGCTTATCCCAATCTCGTTGCCGGTTGTCTACAACTTTTGCTAGGTACCTCTCCAATGTCTGATTAAATCGTTCTACCATTCCATCAGATTGCGGGTGATAAGAAGTCGTTCTTGTTTTATGAGTACCCATAACTCGGCAAGTTTCCTGGAATATTTGAGACTCAAAATTCCTTCCTTGATCGCTGTGAATCTCTAAAGGTACCCCAAAACGGCAGAAGACTTCATGAACTAGTTTATCTGCAACTGTTGAAGCTTCTTGATTTGGAATGGCGAAGACTTCTGGCCACTTAGTGAAGTAATCCATCACAACCATGAAATACTTGTTACCGCTTTCACTCTTCGGAAACGGCCCCGCCACGTCAATGGCTATTCTCTCCCATGGTGCACCAACATTGTACAACTTCAATGCACCTCTACTACGAGTCTGAGGTCCCTTTACAGCCGCACAACTTGTACATTTGCGACACCAGTCCTCGACATCGTTTCGACAGTGGACCCAGTAAAACCGTTCTCGGATCTTTAGTAGAGTTCGTTTAACTCCCAGATGACCTCCTGAATAATCATTATGGTACAGCTGTAGAACATCAAGTACTTTAGCTTTAGGGACAACCATTTGCAAATGACAGCTGTCTCCCCGAACATTTTCCCATTTACGGCACAGAACTCCATCCTGAACCAGCAAGCTGTCCCACTGGGCCCAATAGCTTTTAGTGGTTGAACTCATCGCTGAGACGTCGCTCCACTTGGGCTTGGGAGCACTGGCCTTCATCCATTCCAGAATCGGCTCGATGTCCGGATCTTCCTGCTGTGCACGTTGTAAGCTGTCCTTCCACTCGTTGCTGAGGTGGTCTGCCCTGAGTATCCTCACGGATACCACTTCCTTACTCTCTTGCCTAGTACAATGTTTGCAATCTTCAGGACAAGGTCTTCTTGACAATGCATCTGCGTTGCCATGAGATTTCCCGCTGCGATGTTCGATCTCAAAGTCGTATTCCTGCAGTAGTTTAATCCACCTCGCAACTTGTCCTTCTGGATTTTTAAACTGCAATAGCCATTTTAGTGCAGCATGGTCAGTTCGTAAGTGAAATTTTCGCCCCAGAAGATATTTGCTAAAATGCTGCAACGACTTTACCACAGCTAGCAATTCGCGTCTTGTAACACAATAGTTCCTTTCCGGTTTTGACAACGACTTGCTGAAGTACGCTATCACAATCTCTCGATCACCGTTCCGTTGAGACAACACACCGCCGAGCCCTGTATCACTTGCGTCTGTGTCAACTATAAATTCTTTGCTTGCATCAGGGTATCCCAAAATAGGTGTTTTGCACAGACGGTCCTTGAGCTCCTGGAATGCGATATTGCAACTTTCATCCCAGCAGAAATGTCGCTTCTCCTCGGTTAGCTTATGCAGAGGTTTGGCTATATCTGCAAAGTTCTTGGCTTCACAAATCGCCGGTAGTAGGAGCACAAACCCAAAAATGCTCTAACCTGCGTCTTGTCTTTTGAAACCGGCCAATCCTTGACAGCGGCGATTTTCTCTGGGATACCTTCTTCCGATACTACATACCCCAAAAAGTTAACTTGCCGTTTGAATAGTGAACATTTCTTCGGACTCAACTTGAGGTTGGCACTCTGAATCTTCATGAGCACGCGTTCCAGGTTTTGAAGGTGTTCCTCAAACGTACGGCCCACGATTATGATGTCATCACCCGCAAGTACAAGTTCAACTTTCAATTCTGGAGCATTGTACAACCCAAACGGCATTACTTTAAATTGCCACAGACCCTTTTCCGTCAAGAACGCAGTTTTCTGCTTGTCCTTGGGGTCAATTTCAACTTGCCAGTAGCCACTTTTTAGATCCAGCGTGCTAAACCACTTTACTCCTGTAAGCATGTCCAGCGTGTCATCAATTCTTGGCAAGGATAACTGTCCTTCTTCAACTCCGGCCAAAACCCTGCCTCCTTCTTCTTACCAGCACACAACACCTGACTAGAGGAAGTTCAATAACATCCTTTCCTTCAATCATGGTTTCCACTTCCTTTTCACGTGCTACCGGCACTCTTCTTGGCCGCTGACGGATAGGTAATTCTTCTCCTGTGTTTATTTTGTGTTGAACTAAGCCAGTCTTTCCTATGTCAGCATCGTATGATGAGAATACATCGGCATACTTGAGTAACAACTTCTTCGCCTTGACCATTTCGGTCGGGGAGAGAACGCTGCGACAGTCTTCCAAAAGTGAAGTCACTCTCGTTTGTGCATCCTTGCTGGGGGTCTCACTCGATAGATATTGGCACCGACGTAACCAATCCACTTCCTCACAAGTACCAACCAGCGTGCCTTTTTCTATAATCTGTTCCCGGTCACAAAGGTTCAGCACACGTACTTCTGAGATGCCAGTGGTTCTGACCAAGGTTCGAGCTACTTTTCATGAAAGGTCATTGTTTACCCTTTCCACAAGTACACAACGGTGAGCTTGCCCAGCGTTTCGAGGAAGACAACTGGAACAACAGTTTCCGATCTCGGCGGAAGAACAATCTTCTTAATTCTGTACACGTTCCCTGGTAACGCACCTTCCATAAAAAGTTCCTCCTTTCCACATTTCAAAACACCTTGCTTAACGTTCAAAATATCTCATAAAGTCCAGGCTTAGGATGCAGTCGTCCATTATATCAGCCACGATGACATTATGCAGGTAGATCACGTTGCCTAGCTTCAACTCCATCTCCTTCTCTCCACGGACGGGTATACGCTGACCGGTGGCTGTTACCAAATTAATGCGTTCTCGGTTGTATGCGGAGTCCCCAAGGAACTGACTTATAAGTTGGGAACTAACAACCGTACGAGAGGCTCCAGTGTCTACTGTCAGTTTACACGGCATTCCATTGACCTCGCCCCTGATGATTAGATCTCGTATCGAGATCTTGGGGCTCTTTTAACATCAGCCAGCACCCGCCCCGCAGTTCTGACCTTTACTCGTTTCCCTGCTGCTGCTAGGCCGTGGCCGCACTACCCTCCTGAGATCGTTCAACTTCCCTTTCTAGGGTTCGCTTAGGGCAGCTGGATCGAAGATGGCCCTTTTCCCCACAGCCATAGCACCTAGGGCTGTATCCTTTGTTGCGGTCGCGAACTGTAGCTGCTGCAACCTCCCTGACGCGATGGGAACGATGATCCTGCCGCACGGCTTCCACCTCCAGTGCATGGGCCAAGGCGTCCTTAAGCGTCTCGTGGTGCCCGAGCCTCACAGCAGCTCTGCCCAGGTCGCGGCTGACTTCCAGGTCGCGGATGCCGTCGATGAATGTCTGCACCAGGTTCCCTTCAATGAGCGCAGGTACAGTACCGGTATGCTTTTCGCACCAGCTTCTCCACCTCTAGAGCCCACTGCTGCAGGTTTTCGTTGATGCGCTGCACGCGATCTTTAAGCTGCGCACGAAAGACGTGTTCCAGTGAGCGTCGCCATATCTCACCTCCAATGCCTCAAGGAGTTGCTCATAAGTCACTTCCTCACCGAGAGCTTCCAGAACTGTTAAGGCCTGCTCGCGCAGGCCTAGTGTGAGAGCAGTCATGGACTGACTTTTATTCCAGCCGTTCGCTTTCATAACAGCCTCGAACTGGATTTTGTAGGCTGACCAGGAAGAAGTCCCGTCGAACGGTGGCACCTTGAACCCACGTAGCGAAGGTGTAGTAGCTACTACGGGAGCTGTAGTTCCATCCCCAAGTTTGAGTTCGTCCAGTGATTTCTTCATGTCAGCCATTACGTTGTCAACCCGATTGTTCACTTGGTCGATTCGGGTTTCGGCTTTCTCGATTCGGGTTTCAGCTTTCACGATTTGGGTTTCAGCTTCTGACAGGCGGTTGTCATGCTGAGCAACCCTATCCTTTACCTCCTTGATCTCCTTCCCGAAGGTAGCGTGAAGGTCTTTCATGAGGAGCATCTGCTCTTCCAACCGACGGGCCCGTTCCTCTTGTCCGTCCCGCACCTTCTCTTCCAAAGGACGGACCTGTTCCTCTTGTCCGCCCCGCAGCTGCTCTTCCAACCGACGGGCGTGTTCCTTCTGTCGGCGAGTCTGCTCCTCCTGCTGCTCTTTCAACCAACGGGCCTGCTCCTCCTGTCGGCGAGCCTGCTCCTGCAGCATCACCATCAGAGCACCTAAATCAGGTGCTGCAGATGTAGGAGCTACTGACGGGCCTGCAGCCGGCGGCTGGCCCTCCGACGTCTGCGGCGTTGCACCACCAAATTTTCTTTGGTCCGTCTCCTGCTGGCGTTGACTTCGGGTACGGACACCCTCCGTTTCCTCCTTAGGTAAAATCGGCATGATTTTATCCCACTTCTGACACCAATTGTTACGAGCTTGAGGTTCGTGACAATAAAAATTGCCGATAGGATTACCTAAATTAACACTTTAATTTTCTTTACACAAATTAAAACTTAAAACACCAATAATTAAGCACATTAATTCACTTTATTCCGCTCCGAAGCTTCGCTTGTCTCGCCAAATTCAATACTTCCCCGATCGCACCTTGCAGCGCCTATAAATACACATTAGTACCAAATCATCCAGAACATTCAAGTAAATACGCGCACCAATCGACAAAGCGCCGAAAGTTCGAGAGTCAGCTTCCAGAAGCTTAGTTCTTCATTTCGACAACAGATAGCGCTGTCGGTTGAAAGATTAGTGATGTCATTTTCTGGAAAGCTCTCCCCCTCGCTCCGTTACCCGACACTAGATGGCGCTAGTGCCAGATGTTAACTTAGCCGCGCAACAGTACATATCTAGAAAAACCGATAGCCCAACTGATTAGTAAGCTGAAGTGACAGTGGGTCGGCCACATAACTCGAAGAACCGACAACTGACGGAGAAGCCTTTCTTCTTCTTTCTTCTTAAATGGCAGCCTCGTAATTGGAGTGTAGAGTGGCTCCACACTAGATGGAGTGATGATCTCGTGAGTCATCCAGAGAGTTGATAGGTACAGAAGACTTAAATAAGACCAAGTTTATGGCAGTTTGTAGGGAGAGGTCTGTGAACGACAAAAGTGTACCTGCGAAAATTTAAACGCCGGTAAAGTGTTGTCTCGATACACATGTTTAGTATTTTGATTTAAATGATACCACTGAAGGTGTAGTGGCGGTGCAGGAATGTCCACTAACCCATATCTTTAGTGGCGTCAGAGACAACACAGGGAATCTGAAACAGAAGGTGGCCAGCAACATCTTCCTGATAACTACAAATAATCCAAAACTGAGGTTTACAAACCGCCTGTCAAAATTGATAACTATGGCAAAGTCCTACCTACGACATTCGTTCATGGTAGAGCCACGCTACAGCTACATTATGGTTGTAGCACGAATGGGTCGGCTCGACCGGGGAAGGACCACGCTCTCACAGAATACCAGCTTAATGCTGCTGTGTTTTGTATGGTGAGTGTAGAGAACCGGATACACTTTTTACTGGAAACGAGGCATTCCATCTTAGTCCTCACGGGTGACAACGCATCTGCATTTTGATTCGTAATCGAGGATAGATACAAATGTCTATGGGCCGCAGCATCCACTTACCATCAGGTGGACTGTGTGCTCGTTTGTCCATCGTAGTCTATTAAAAAAACCTTCGGGAGGTATATGTTCAACAGAGGTCTCTTACAGGCTGTAATGGGTACCACTGACCTCCTCGGGCTCGTGGAGTTTGAACTCCAACCCTCTTCCGGTCCACGCGACGCAGCGCGCTCCCTCTGCCAGCAGCGACACTAGAAATTGCCACAACTGCAACGCGCCCCTTCTGCCACCACCTGAATAATGCAGTAATAATAATACATATTAATAGACCGGCAATGTAGCAGACCTTATCATATGCAGATGGCGGCGTGGCAAATTTTTGTTTTAAGCCTGTGCCCACTTGTGGGGTATTGGTAGGCTGTAACTTAACTTTTTTACTTCAAGTGGCGGTATTACACTCAAGCGCTCGTCACCATCATCATTATTGCGGCTCTTCACAAGTGCTCTGCTCGTCGCGTGCCTCCCCCTCAAGAACTGCCACTTATCGACCTGCTGTATCTCGGTCCACTTTCGTGAACGCACCGCGCGGCAACCTCCCGATACCATCCACACCATCTAGATGCTTGGCGGTCCACCACTGTACGTTTCAAAAGGAGTTTTTTTCGGCGTACCGATACGACCTGGGGACCTTCAAGAAAAGAGATTACTTCTTTCTAAAGGGCCGGCAACGCACCTGCAACTCCCCTGGTGTTGCGGTTGATCATGGGCGGCAGTAGTCACTTTACATCAGGTGAGCCGCATGATCTTTTGCCCCCTCTTCTATAAAAAAAAAGTTTGTCATCAAGGCTTTACCTTACGAAACTGACTATGTTATGACTATTGCTGAGACTAGTTGTGACTGAAATATGGTCTGGAGAGCACTATTATGAGATAATATTATATGCCGGGCAATATAACATGGGCTACGTTTGGATGTGGATTTAATGCGCTGTTATACTAATAATGATGATTTCTTCGAATGATGTCTCATTTGGAGGCAAAACAGTGTGGTATCATCGATGGCAGCTTGAATTTTTTAATTTATTGGTATTCGATTTAGTGTGGCAGAATTGGTGCACTCGCTTGTGGTAATTAGAGTGATGGCCTTCAAACTAGGTAAGACACAACTTACACAAATTTTTAATGAAGGTTTTTAATTTTTATATAGATGGTGTCATTTTTTTATAGGATAAAGTTGAATAACTAGCGTATAGTCCACTTGACAATAAGTGAATGCTGTAGCCAATAGATATCTACATCTATTCTCGATTAAGAATTAAAATGTTTCGTTACCAGTAAAAAGGATCTTAAGTTCTCTACACTCACCATACGGTACATGGCAGCATTAGGCTGCTATTTTACGCTGGTATTCTGTAAGAGCGTGGTCCTGGGGATAAATATCCTGACAATGAGATTGATGAGAATGAGATCCTGATACTGTTATCGTCAATCCATCTTTCTGATGTGGCGATTATAGAATTTTGGGAGAGATCCATGCTATGTTGTAAACTGCATATGGGCTGGTGATGATATTTATGAATTATTGGTATTGTAAATTAATGGTATAATTAATTATTGGTACTAAGAATTATTGGTATTACATACATAAACACTCACGCCTGTCACCCAGAGGGGTAGGCAGAGACTACAGACTTCCATTTGGTACGATCCTTACACACCTCTCTCGCCTCCTTCACATCCATATACCTACGCATACACGCTCGTCGGTTAAGAGTACTCCTTGGTATTATTAATTGCTTTTTATATTAATTATTGGTACTATGAACATTGGTACTATTAAGTATTGGTACCATGAATTATTGGTACTATGAATTATTAGTACTCTTTTATCGCTACTATGAACGATAAGTACCATGAATTACTTATGAATCATAGTTAGTATGAATCATTGGTACCGCTCTATCAATTGATGTCTTACCGGAGTGTGTGGTGGAGACGTGGTGGTTGGGAGAAGCAGCGTCAGTGCGGGAGGAGGGCGCCGCCGAGCACAGCGAGCTGCTCACTGTCGGACAGTTAAACTTATTAAATTAAGAAACATGGCGGTTATTGGGGATGTTATTAATGATATGAACCTATGAAATGTCTTAAGTATTTACTTCTATGACGGACTTATATAACACAATAAAATTTATAATATTAAAGTAAAAAGCAAAAATATTGAAGTGAAAACTTCTTTAGCGGCGTTGTACACTTTTTTGTACTGGGTAAAAAATGTTAAACTCGCGTCTGGACACGTGACTCTGATCGAAAATTCGTAAGACGGATGGAGAGTAGGAGAGGAAGTATCCCTCTCTCTTTCTACGGCGCGGCGAAAATGTGTGCCTGCGCCTGCTGGTGTAAACTGCTGCTGCTGCGGCTTGCGCGAATCTAATATAAATTGTCATGTTTGTGTATGATAGCGCAATAAATAAATATTGTATTCTACCACATAAATGATAGTACTTTTATACTGATAATTAAAGCAATTCGTGCAAAATTATTCCCTAACCATTCCAAAATATCAAAAATGCACATCTTTAATATTAATGTTTTCACTTCTGCCGGCACTCCCGAAGTGCAACCCGTCGTTTTTTTTTAATAATAAAATTAGTGTTTTTTTTTTTAAATTAATTGTAGTATCAAACATTTAAAAATCACAATTAGTACATTAAAGTCATTACCATCAGTGTAGTTTTCACATCTATCGGCTCTCCAAGCAACACTCAAATATATGTTACTATTCGCGACACCATCCATACCACCTGGATGATTGGCGGTCCACTACTGTGCGATTTACAAGAAGTTTCTTCATCACACAGCTCCCTTGTGGAATCGACTACCACCAGCAATACGACTTAGGACCTTCAAGAACAGAGCCTACCTTTTTTAAAAGAGCGGTAACGCATCTGCAATGCCCCTGGTCTTCCAATTTTCCAACCAACCAACCCCGTGACTTCGTCCTCGTAATTTAATAGAGCATTTTTATACATTAAATACGAAAGACAAAGAAGTCGCCATTCAAAAACGAAGAGGAAGCTTACAAACCCATTTTGTCTCCCCAGGGCGGCTGCTCTGCGGTGCTGGAGACGGCCTCCTCGCGAGGCTCCATCTCCTCTGTGCATTTGCCCAAGGAACCGCATCTGTGTTTACGAGTTTAAATTATAGTGTATACACGTAATACACGTGTGAAATATACGTCAGGTCAGGTCAGGTCAGGTGCTAGGATTGCCGCTTGTTAAGTATGTTGATGGTGGTGATGATTCAGTAAAATATTTTATATATCGGGAGCGCTGTTGTTCAGCAGTGGACAGTTTCGGTTCGATGACAAACAAGATGATCATAACTAAGCTATTTTAATGTCACATTTGATCACATAAAATAACAAACGAGAAAATCCCTTTATTTTGATACGAATAAATTACGTACGTACACTACAATATTAATATTAAATTAGGTGATAGGACTATATCCCTTACTGCTTAGGAACATCTGTGCAGGAATCATTCTCTTGTTTTTACTGTTTATATTGTAATGCTAGCGACCTGCGCTGAGTTTGTCTGGATAAGATCTATTAACGTGAAGTTATTCGGGTTTAAGACAAACATAGAACTTAGACCATTCATTTTATCAACTTTTCTGTGGACACGTTTAGAATCGCTTCCGTCATTAAATAAGAATCTTTAGACTATGATTTCTCGCAAAAGGTTGTGTAAAGTTTGTATTATAGTTACCTATGCAAGTGATACTGCTCTCTATACTCGGATCTGATCTCCTCGCCGTCACTCTTGCATCTGGAACAAATTTAAATGTATGTAAGGATTTTAAATTAACTATACAAGGTACAGATATGCTGTTATTGCTTAAAATCAGGTAAAATAATTTTAGGAAGGGGCTGAACGAATAAGGTGGGTGAGGGTGGTCATAATATGGTCACCTTAAGCCATCGAACTATATTACTTACGTAGTAGTAATAACTCAATGCCTTAGGCTTTGCCGCCCTGTAAAACATAAACTAGGAGGAGGATATAGACAAAAACACTTAAAAAAAGACAAAAATATTTAAAAAAGAAACAAACAACCTTGCAATTATCAGGAACACTTCGAAAACTTCTTGCGACACCCGCGGGACGATATCGGGTAGTGGATATTCTTACACCGCCACTACACGGCTATGAATTTCACATATTTTCTTGATACTTCTAGCGAGCACATAGCCCTTGAGCTATTACGGCTAATAGTTAAAAATAAAGGCTATTATACTGCATGAGTTTTTTACCGTCTGGAAAAAAATAAGGTGTAACATGTGAACGGAGTAGAAGCCTATGGCACTGATATTTAACAAAAAATAAAAACAATTCCTTTGCCTTGCATCGTTGATATTTTCATTTCGCACGAACAAACAATGGCACTTTGCCCTTATGTGTTTGACCCTACAAAGTTAAAATATCAATGATGCTTACTGAATTTATTGTTTTATTGCCGTTCGAAAAGTATAGTGGATATGATTTGAATTTCGATAGATTTATTTAATTTATTTATTTAACTCAAAAGTCAGTTTAATATTGTTTTATTTTTTATAAAAAAAACAATGCCGTTGGCTTCAACTCCGTTCACACGTGACGCTCTATTTTTTCCACACGGTAAAAAGGTCACCAGCATAAGTCAGTTTAATATTGAGGGCAATATTGTGTGTAAATAGGTAAATCTTATTTAACAACTAGGCTAAATTAAAAAAAAAAGATGTTGTTTTGATTTTATCACTAGATGTCGCTAATTGGGAAGGTGAACATATTACAAAATTGTAATATGTTACGCAGACAGATGGTCACAGTGTCACCATAATTGAAAAGTTGTTTTTTTTTTTAAATAAAAGTGTTTTCATTTAATATACCTCAATATGGATAATGTGATGTATTCTTTATCTTTGTTTTAACATTTTTAACTTTTTTAATACTTCTGCTTTTAGGAATGTACGTTGTTTGGTTTATGCATTTCTAACCTAATTAATATAAAATATAACTAATTTTTATGTAATATAAAGAAAGACTGATCTCTACACTTTTATAACAAATTAACTTCCCCCGCTATGAAATCTATCAATTAGGTATTTCACCTTATTTTCAAGTGGCACCGCTCGTGAATGCTCTCATTCCATACATATAGGGCCTTAACATATATTATATATAATACATATACTTGTAAGAAAAACATCTATTAATATTAGGTCTTTACCTATGGAATTGCTGTTTCTAGCGACTTCAAAAAGGAATTCGACTGTATGTTTTTTTTTACGTGCGTTACCTCATAACTTTTCTCTGGGTGAACCGATTTCGATGATTCTTTTTTTATCTGAAAGCTGATGCTTCTCTTGTGGTCGCATATAATTTAATCAAGATCTGACCCGTAGTTTTTGAGTTATCTTTAACAATGCGTATTTAATTTACTTCGAATACATTGTTTCGGTCGTATTGAAGTCGGTTGTACAAAATTTTTAATTTTACCACTTGTTTATGAAATAAGTTAACGTAAATCTTTTTATATATTTTTTTATTTCTATTATTAAACGTAACCTTCAATACAATGGATGCATGTTTGACAACGCAGTGGCAGTTTATTGAAGCCCGTTTTGAAGAAGTCAGATGAACAGGAGGCAATAATTTCTTCAAAGGCATTTCGTACTGAGTCTAGGGTATTGAAAATTTTTCCCGCCAGTCATCCAGATTCCGGAAAAAGTAGAGGTCCGTAGGCGCAAGGTCTGGTGAGTATGGCGCATGACGGAGAGTTTCCAACCTCAACTCCTGTAACATGGAGACCGTCTGTTGTGCAGTATGAAGTCGTGCGTTGTCGTGTAGGAGCAGCGAGGACGAGCGATTGAACAAAGCTAGTTGGACACGTGCGAGCTTCTCCATCATTGTGTTCAGTTCTTCACAGTACACATCTGCAACAATGCTCATAGTTTTTTGTATGAAGCTGTTATGAATGCGACCGGCGCTACACCGCCAAACAGTGACCATTTCTTTTCTATGGGTAAGTTTTCGTTTAGGGCATGGTTTAGGTGCTCAACCGGGATCCAGCCAACTTGCTGAGCGCTTGCGATTCTTAAACATAATCCATTTCTCGTCGCAGGTAGCAATGTGGTTCAAAAGTCTCGACACGTACTTCGCGTTGGCGATCATTAAGTTCATGGGGCACCCATTTGTCAAGCTTTTTTACCTTTCCAATTTGACGCAAATGGACCAATACGATAGCTGCTGCTGATTCAGCCGATTGATTGATTGTCAGATTGAGTATCATCAGCTTCCACAACCGCCTTTTATTCATCATTGTCGACCAAAGCTTTCCGACGACCACGGGTTCATTTTTCATGTCGATAATTCCAGAACAGAAGCTATAGCCGCGTACACACGTAGCGCATGGGTAGCCTCGCGAGTCAAATGCCTCGCCTGGCATAGACGTGCCTCGGGCTGCCTCGAGCGCACGTTGCCTCGACCGAGCGCTGCTCGTTGTCGCCATGCGTTGTCGGTAAACTAGACCCGCTCAAAGGTACCTCGGTGATAGCTATTCGTTTGGTGTGTACGGTGGTATTTCGGCACGTGAGGCGATACGATAGAGTTTTTTTTTTAGTTTTACTGAAAAGTCGCTTTAACAATATAATAGGTATCATGAGCAATCAGGACGAGTCGATGCGTTTAATTCAATGAATGTACAATCTGATCATGTGTTAAATCTTTAAGTAATTTATTTCCTAAATTTTTCTAATCCAGGAGCGTCTAGGTCTTTTCAAGCGTGACTGTTTTCGGGTTTTTAAACAATAAGCAAACTAAGAAGGTAGCTGCAGCTGCAATTATACAACTGCCCATTTAGGATGTTCGGGGACATATGATGGCTCGACCTGCCTCGCGAGGCATGCCTCTGAGTTCCGGACAATACTACTGAGGCTGGCTCGCGAGCCGCACACCGAGGCTTCCGCGCGAGCCCGTGCGCTAGGTGTTGTTTACGTTAACATGTGGTGCGTTCGTTTGTAGTATTTGCTTCGTAAAAGTCGATGATGTTGCGTGCCGCTTGTGCCGCGTTGCTGCCACGTCGGTACTCATATTGCACAATTAATTTAATTATTAACTTATCCATGATGACGAAAAAAATTCAAATGCGACGAAAACATAACGCTAATCAATAAACAAATGATTAATTTTGAAAAATAAATTCCATGTTTTTAAGCTATGCATAGCTTCTATTTTACTGATTGTTTGTTAATATTTGTACCTCAGTTTAAATTTTAATTGCATAGCTTCTATCGCGGGCCTTGAATGCGGGAAAATCCAGAAATTTCGTAACGAAAAAAACCTCACGCTTTCCGACGGACACGGAGGTGTGGCTTGAAGGCCGTGCATTGTCTAACGATGGTCTAACGTCGTTTCTTTTCCTCAGTCTTCGACACGGTGTTTGTGTATAAAGTGTTTTGAAATTTTGAATATGAATGAACAAAGTGCATTTATTATTAATGAAGAAAGTCACGAAAAAACAGTGAAAGAAAATGAGTGAGTACTCTATATACATACCTACATATTATTATTATCACAAATGAAGAAAGAAGTCAATTTAGATTCCATTGTATATATATACTCGATTAACCGGACTAATTGTTGCCGTTAGGGATTCGGATAATCGAAAATCCGGATGATCGAATGTATGAAGAAAAGCAGGTTTTGTGCATTAGTAGTACATATGTACATAAATAATGTTATGTGTTTATTAAAAACAACAATTTCAACGAAAATCAATGTTTATTAAGAAATTATTATTTTTTAATAAACATTGATTAAATTCCATGAAGAGATATAAATCTATATAACCATCCGTTACTTGCGACAAACGAGCCGCCGTCACCTAATTTTTTATTTAACTGCAATGCTTTTTCATAAAGCAAAGGGCCAGATATCATTTGCCCAGTTGATCGTTTTTGTAAAAACCAACAATACAAAGCGTCTTCTAATTGCCAATTTACTCGCGGACATAGGTCCTTATGTCCGGGACGGGGTTTGTTAGCGCCTGATAGTAGATCGTCTTATCTCAAGCGGTGTGAAGCGACGATTAGTGAGGTGCGGGAGG